CGCTGGTAATACCATTGGTGGCGGTTTTTAACCGCCATAAAATGTAACCGCCACAAATCGCACATTTTTTTGTAGTAACACCTCAAATCAAACACCTAATGTTCCAAGATTAAGAGGACATTCATGGAATTACCATAATTTAATAAAGGTTTAAATATGTTTTTAATTTTTTAAATTTAGAATAATTTTTTTTTTAACCTCTCAAATTTAAAAGTTATCTTTTTAGTCCTTTTTATTTTTAAAATATGTTGATTAAGTCCCTCAAGACTATTCATAAAATAACAATGATTGATTGAGTCATTTATATAAAATCATTTGACTTTAATGTAATATTTTAATCAACAAAAGTATGAATATGTGAATTTTGTTTGACAAATTTAATACTAAGTGACTTTTATTCGACAGTTTCATTATCAACGTTTGAGAAACAAGATTAAAATGAACTTTTAAAATTATAAGAATTAAAAATAATAATTTTAATTTTGAAAGATAATTTTTTTTTTACATCATAATTAAAGGACTAAAAACTTATTATAGACTTTAATAGATTATATTTTTAAAATAAGTTTCTTTTTATCATTTTTAAATGGTTTGACAGATCATAACTAATGGAGTTTATCGAAGTGTTGAACATCGAGCAATAGTTAACTCAGAAAAAGAGAGAATTTCCATTGTTGCCTTTCATCGACCTCAACAAAATAAAGTTATAGGTCCAATACCAAGTCTTGTTACTACAGAAAGACCTGCATTATTCAAGCAAATTGTGGCAGGAGATTACTACAAAATATACTTCTCGCGCAAGCCACAAGGGAAGACATGCCTTGATGTTATGAGGATCAAAAATGATATTGGTGAATGATAAAGTGCATATGCAACTTTCCTTAAAATGGAAAATAAAACACAAGTATATGTAATAATATAATATATACATTGTCACTAAGTATTAAATCAATGTACAATGTTTGAAAATGTGATGTGATAACTTGGAAGTTAATGTGGCTTTAAAATTTATAATGGGACAAGAAATATATAATTTTAATGACAAATAATGCAAATTGTGATTGCAACTATATATGGTTCTTCATTGCAATCCACAATTAATGGATGCTGTTGTGGCTGGCCAAATCATGTGATGTAGAACATGATTTCAAACCTTTATTATAAAAATTATGTGTTGTCACATTTATTTTTTGAACTCACAACCTTATAAGTTTATGTGTTTGTGTAGAAGTTAGATAAAAGAGGTTATGAAAAATTTTAAGTTTATAAGTTGATGTTTAACTTATGCGATAAATATATTTGATTTATTTTATTCTTTTTCAAGTGTCTATTGTGAATTTTATTCATATTGGCTTAATTAAAATTAGGCACAAGAGAAGTATAAATTCTTTCCTACAAGGAAAAAGCATATAAGTGTTGGTCAAAAGTGAATGTTAACTAATGAAAATCAATACTAAATATGACTTTAGTCACAATTTTGTACTGGCTTTTTTGTTGAGGCTAAATCAATCAAAGTTATTCTACAACATTGACTAGTTTTTTCATAGTTGAGGTTAAATTGGAAGTTATGTAAAAGTAAAAAATAAAAAAATAAAAAAGAAAAAAGAAAAATGGTTGATGTTATTTACATTGACCAATAGACGTTGACGCTAAAAAGAGACAATAAAAAAAACATCGTGGTTACCAATACTTTGCATGCCTCCATTATCATTTAAATGTTACCGATGTGCATTTATGATTAATTGGATTGTTTCTTTGTAAATTTCAACAAGTTTTTATAGACATTCCTTTAATATATCTTTCAAGAAAAAAAATTCTTTAAATCCTATAATTGTGGAGGAAAGAAAGACATTAAAAGTGAGATTCAATAGTGTCAATAAAAAAAATTCAACACTTTATTGAAATAGTGAAGTAATATCTTAAAATTTAAGGAATACAAATGAAGAGATAAGTAGGAATGAATGACACAAAGTATTTTTATATTGATTCATTTCAACTACCAAGTATTCTTTTACGAATCACTTATGCTTCAACCTAAGTATTCTTTAACTTGTCTCTTCAAGTAACCACCCAAGTATTCTTTAAACAAGGAAGCATCTTTAGGCTTCAACAACCAAGTATTCATTACAATAAAGTCTCTTTAGGCTCAAAAGAATGAAATAATAGTTATTTCACCTTGCTCAAAAGACATGATACAACAATTAAGTAAAGAGCTTTTACATAGAAAGAATGAAATAAATTTTTACAATATTTGTTTTGTCTTCTTTCTAAGTCTTCAAGATTCATTATATAGGTGCTTAATAAAGATCATTGCAGATCTTTGAATGTTTACTCATAGGCTTACTTAGTCTTTCTTCATCTTCTTTCCTTATAAAATAAGGTGTTAATTAGTGCATTAAATGTATGTCACCAAATTTTCACTTCTTATCTAATCAAGGGGGCTAGTTATCACCTTTAAGGTGGAAAACAAGAGAAATTTTTATGTGGTCGAATCATGCCAAGGAGGTCATGAGGTGACACGTTGAAGGACCCAAGAGGAATGAACTAGACATGAAGATTTGGGCTAGCTTAGAGCCTAGTGGGCTTGGTAGGCCCAAGTTGCTCCTCACATGGGCCACACCCTGAGATCTCCATTTTCCTTTATGTGTATAGATTATAATAGTATAGGTTTCATATATTTTAGTCTTTTATTTTAGACCACATGGATTAGGATTTTTAGGCCATAGGTTTATTGGGCTTGTTTTCAGGCTTAATGAGCCTTAGGTGTTTTGGTACCCAATATTGAACTCATTTTACTTCTTTTATTATTTCTTATTGTTTGTGATAGGTGGGCCATTGTATTTAGACCATTAGATCATGTTTTGAGAGAGAAAATCCAATTAGGCAAAGTTAGCTAAATTAAGTCACATTTAAGAGTAATTTGAGTTGCATTTGGTGCACATGTGATAGCCTAATGGTGGTTGCACATGATCCGCACTTGGCAACATCAAATTAACCCTAAACAAAACTTAAATCAAATGGTGACCGCATATGGGAGTGTTTATGTAGCGGCAAATAAATTTGAATTTCAAATACCATTTGAAATTCAAATTTTCGATGCCAATTGGAGGCATGTGCATTGGCTCCATCTGTGATGCTTCCTTGGCCTATAAATTGGGTTTCTCTCCCTCATTTGAATCACTTTTGAATATATGAGAAATCTGAACCATTTCTTCAGCCAATTCTCTCCCAAAATTCATCGAAAATCCTTGCTTAGGTTCTAGGAATCCGAGGGCTTCTAAGCTTGATTTGTGAGCAATCCTTTGCTCTTCTTGCTAGAGTGCTTCCTTCTTTAGCCTAGGATCAAGTGTCTCATCTTCAAATTTGGAAAATCAAATCCAGAACTTATTCTGAAGGAGAAGATCATGGTCTTAGAGTAAGGAAAAGGAGGTCTAATCTTCACTTCACTTGCCTCACTCCATCATCATGTGTCAATTAGAAATGAATTTATATGTGACTTTATACATTTCGAGATATTTATTTGTCCTTTCTCTGATAAAAATCAAATCTTTGTTCCTTATTGAAGTTAGTGTACCAAAGAAGTTTTTATTTCTTTGATCTATTAAGGAATAACATTGACATAAATGATATGATTATCAAACATAATAAATGATATATTTAACATATTCATCTTAGATAGACAAAGTGTTTTATTTGAGAAACTACATGTCATCATAACCAATTGTTTTATATAAGAATTTTTCTTATATGATCTTAAAATATATTTTTTTTTTTGTAAAAAAACATTAAAGTAAACTTATATTTTTTAGGTTTAGGGTTTACCAATAATTTTTGTGTGTGTATGTGTGTGTGTGTGTGCTGTGTTTGTGTCTGTGTCTATCTGTCTATGTGTGTGTGTGTCTGTGTCTGTCTGTGTGTGTGCGTGTCTGTGTTTGTGTCTGTGTCTGTTTGTGTGTGTGTGTGTGTCTGTCTGTCTGTCTCTGCGTGTGTGTGTGTCTGTTCGTGTGTGTGTATGTGTGTGTGTGCGCATTTCTGCATCTGTGCGTGTGCTCGTGTGTGCGTGTGTGTGTAGTAAAAATAAAAATAAATATTTTTGGATTGAATGCAAAATCTTCTTCACTTATGATGTCATTATGAAAAACCCTCTTAACTTCCATTTGATACAATGAAATTGTACGAAAAGTAGCAAATGAAAATATGATTCTAATGGTTACAAGTTATATGTGCAAATTTTTTACTAAAATCAATACCTTTTGTTGTGAGTAACCTTTAGCTACAAGTCTAGCTTTATTTCTCAAGCATTTACCTACTTGGTCCAACATGTTCTTGAAGACCTATTTAGTTCCTATAACAAAATTTTCTTATGGAATAGGATCAAGTTTCCATACATCATTTTTCTGGAAATAATCTAACTCTTCTTACATGTCTTTCATATATCCTTTGTCCTAGAGTGCTTTGTTCGGAGTCTTTAACATTATTTAAAATATTAATGTTGTGATACCCTTCTACCCCAAATTAAAATAATTAATTTTTAAAGTAAAACAATATTAATAAAAAAAAATTAAACTTGGTCATTTCAGTAAAAGGGTTCACGAAATCTTCATAAAATAAACTCAAAAAATTATAATGTGATTAAACTCTCAAAATAATCAAAGATAAGGAACAATTGTCAAGTTATATAAAATTCTGACAAGGCAAATAAAACATAAAATTAATAAACTCTGTCAGACTAAAGAAAACATGAATAAACTCTTTAATACCGATGTCACACTATTAGAGAAAGATCCCAAAATAATAAATGAAACATTAAGCTTTGCCTCCATCAAGCTCCCTCTCTTGTACCTGATCTAAGCCTAAAAATGGTGATCAACCCACACAACAACAACAACAACAACAATAGGGAGTGAGAATACTTCTCACCCATATTTATCCTTGTTGAAGGACACATCAAATCCATTATCATACATTTGACTTATTCCAAGTAGATTATGTTTGAGTCTTTCAATGAAAAATGCATTATCAATTGTTAGTCAAGTAGCCTCATATAACTTAAGAGGGGAGGTGAATTAAGTTTTCCAAATTTTCCTCTTATAAAACTTTTCTGAATTACTTTCTTACAAATTCAATTCCTTAGATAAATTTAAATGTAAAGAATGAATGATGATGCAAACTACCCAATCACAATTAATAACAAGTAATTAAAAGTGTAAGGATAAAAGAATTACAAACTCAATTTTATACTAGTTCGACCAATCCTGCCTACGTCCAGTCCTCAAGTATCCCACTTGAGATTTCCACTATTCTTGTAAACCTTACAAGACTTGAATCCTCCAACACCTTGGAACTCTTTTTTCTTGTGTTGAGATTCAAAAACCAACTAGGAGAAAAACCCTTTCTCCTTTACAGATCCAATGATCAATTTGGAATTACAGAATAACTCTATTTTAAGAGTAGATATTACACCTTTTTGATCTTAATGAACTCTTTAGAATAATGCAAATGAAATTAGCCAAGATGTTTTTGTATATGACTTTTTCACAATAGAGTTCATAACCTTCTTCTGAAAAATTATAGGTATTTATAGACAAGTATTTCTTAAGTTGTGTCTTTTCATGAAGAGTTGTAACTCTTTATAATTTTTCAAAAAAGATACTCTAGTAATCGATTACAAGACTTGGTAATCAATTACAACGATTTTAAGTTCAAAAAATTTGAAACGTTGTATCTTTTAAATTCAAATTTTTGAAGTTCTCTCTTCTGGTAATCGATTACAAGGTCTAGTAATCGATTACCAGAACACATTTTGTATTCAAAATTTGAATTTGAAGTCCATGCTCTGGTAATCGATTACATAAGCTGGTAATCGATTACCACACAAATATTCTTATATT